CCCAGCTTCCCCTGGTGGCCACTCTGGCCAACACCAGGGAAACTCTATTGCCCCCCTCCCAGTACTCCAGGCAATCCAAGCCAGGACTGCTTTGCAAGCGGGGCACCCCTGAGAACTGTCTGTCCGGGGTGGGGGTCGGGTCCCTTTAAGCACAGCCCTCGGCTAGCCTGAGACAGCAGCTCCACGCTCTAAGTCCTCATCTGATGCCCTGCCGGCACTGCTTCCGGCCATCCTTAACCCCGGTTCAGGGTCCACTCTGTGTGGACATGCTAGTTCGAATTCAGGACTGCTTTGCAAGCGGGGCACCCCTGAGAACTGTCTGTCCGGGGTGGGGGTCGGGTCCCTTTAAGCACAGCCCTCGGCTAGCCTGAGACAGCAGCTCCACGCTCTAAGTCCTCATCTGATGCCCTGCCGGCACTGCTTCCGGCCATCCTTAACCCCGGTTCAGGGTCCACTCTGTGTGGACATGCTAGTTCGAATTAGCAAAACGCTAATTCGAACTAGTTTTTTAGTCTGGATGCGTTAGTTCGAATTAGCTTAGTTCGAATTAACTAATTCTAACTAAGTTAGTTCGAATTAGCGCTGTAGTGTAGACATACCCTCAACTACTCTGACTCCTCATGGAAGCAGAACTGCCAGCATTGACCAGAGTGTCCCTATCAGTTCCAAATAGCTGTCTTCACTAGACCTAATTCAAATCCTGGGAGATTGACAGTGGCAGCTTTGATTGTAAAAGACTCAATGGACACAAATCTGATATTAGGAATGGCAACGTACAAAAACCTGTAGGGGAACACTTCAATCTCCCTGGCACACAATTGCAGACCCAAAGGTAGCCATCCTGCAGCAAAAAAACTACAAGACCGGACTTCAAAGAGAAACTGCTGAGCTACAGTTCAAGTGTGACATCATCAACTCTGGATTAAACAAAGACTGTGAATGGCTCGCTAACTACAAAAGCAGCTTCTCCTCTCTTGGAATTCACACCTCCAGATCAGCTACTAGAAGTGGGCCTCATCCTCCCTGATTGGATCCACCTCATCATCTCCAGCCTGATTCTGGCCTGCATATTTATACCTGCCTCTGGAAATTTCCACTACATGCATCTGACGAAGTGGGTCTTTGCCCACGAAAGCTTATGCTCCAACACTTCTGTTAGTCTATAGTAGGGTATGTCTACACTACAGCGCTAATTCAAACTAACTTAATTCGAATTAGTGCATCTAGACCTAAAAACTAATTCAAATTAGAGTTTTGCTAATTCGAAATAGCACGTCCACATTGAGTGGACCCTGAATCGAAGGTAAGGCTGGCCGGAACCAGGGCAGGCAGGGCATATGGGTTGGACTTAGTGTGTGGGGCTGCTGCCTCAGGCTAGCTGAGGGCTGTGCTTAAAGGGACCCGACCCCCCCATCCCGGACAGACAGTTCTCAGGTTTCTCTGCTTGCTGGTCTAGCTCGCTGAGGGACAGCAAAGCATTTGTGTCTCGGAGTGTCCTGCTTGCCCTCACTCAGGGCACCACAGCACCCTGCAACATAGAACCAGACCTGCCCCTGGGGACTCTGCTGCGTCTCATGGACATATTTTCGGCAGCCTGGCTGCCCTGTCTGCAGGCTGCCATTCGGGAGGACCATTGAGGGCCTGTCAGGATCCAGGGGGCCCTGCGGGAAAGCTTCCACCCTGAGGAGCGCTAACAGTCTCCCCAGTCTGCCCCACCGGGGGCTTGTGCCCCATTCCTCCTCTCATCCTTACACTTACACTTCCCTAGCCCCTCCTCCCTGATGTCAAATAAAAGACACGTATTTTCAAAAATAACAACTCTCTTTAACACAACTGGGGAGGGGGAATGAAACTTTGGGGAGATGGGGGAAAGAAGGCAGGAGAGGGCAGGAGAGAAGGTGGGAGAGGGGAGGGGGAAACCTGGGAGGTGGGAGCTGGAAGTGGGAGGAAGGGGAGGAAAGGAAGGGAAAGCTCAGGGTTCAGGGTCCTGCTGGCTCTCCTGTCTCGCAGCACTGCGGGTGTGGGGGCATCGGGGGGGAGTGCGTGTGGAGCAGGAGGGACGGGGGTACAGAGGAAGTGGAAGGGAGAGCAGGGGTGGGAGGAGGAGCGAGAGCTGGTGCAGTCGCAGGGAGGCAGGAGGAGGCAGGAACATGTCCACCAGGGCCTGGAGGTGACCTCTGAGGGCACGGCCCTCCTCCTCCAGTGCCTCCAAGCTCTGCTGCTGCAGCCACAGGTCCTCATGGACCCAGTGCTCCTGGGTGCAGAGCTGCTGCTCCAATGTGGCCTCTCGTGGCCAGGCTGGCAGCCATGCAGCTGTAGACGGCCACGTTCCTGTGCCTAATGCAGAGATTGTAGGCATTGGAGGCCTCCCCCCAAACCTCAATGAGGTCCACAATCTCTGCACTAGACCAGGTGGGCGCCCTTCTATTGCGGCCCCGGGCGGGCTCGGGGGGGCCGCCAGCCTGGTCCTGGGAAGAGGTGGAGGGCTGGGTGGCAGCGGGTGGCTGGCTCATCTCGTGCCAGATGCAGGGTATGCTGGCTGGATGCTGGCAGGCTTGCAACTGGCACAAGCACTGTGGGCAGACTGTGCCCCTTTAAGGGCTC